GTCAAGCAACAGTACTCCACACCACCCAACAGAGACCATTTAAGCATTGAGCTTTCTTTCGGTTTTTGTATGTTGCAGTAGTTCTCTCTTTTTAAAAGTAAGAACTGGAAAAGTGAATATTGTATTTGACTGCTAAACTGTATGTTTTTGAGCCACATGCCTGGATTTTCCTTTGTATATGAGAGACCCAGAAAAGACCTTTAATAAATACATGAAGTGCAAATGGCATTTTATTCTGAATAATGGTTAGGCAGAAACTGAAGTGCAGTAGCATTGAAAGTGAGGTAGATTAATATCGAAGAGCCATATACATTTACTATATTAGTAATGTAAAAATAAGTGAAGCCATGTTATATTGCATTTTTTTATATTCTTGTATTTCCTTGGAGTATGTTAATTGTTATATGCTTGAAAAATGTGATAATTTTTATAGACTGTTTCTAAGGAAAATATTAGGCCTTTGTGAGTGTATGATATGAAGGGAAGGGTTGTTGTTTTTTAATAGATTTAGATTTAGATTTTTTTAAAGCCAGTGACAACTTTGTTCCATATGTAAAATGAACTATTGGTGTTTATGCAGTTTCTGTTGGACAAGTGTCCAACCTCAAATCTCAGCAAAAAGGCCACAGATTTCAATGGACTGTGGAGCCTGAACCTACCATTTCTACCACTAGAGAAGATTTCTCCAGAACAGCGATGGAGCTAAGTTGGCAGGGTAGTGTGGGGAAGCCAGGCTGTTTGGGGAAAGTGAAGACTTCAGTCTCCATAACTGTCGAACTGGAACCTTTCATGATGTCTAATGGCCAACACCACACACTTTCTAATTAATTTCCCAGTAGTTATGAAGTGAGTTGTGTTGCTACGGAACTTTGGGCTTAAAGAATACATATTAGAATACACATCTGATTTCACCACAAAAAACTCTTTGTTTAAAACTGAGAAGTTGTGAATTCATAAAATGTATATTATATTTGCATGTGGTAATGCATGACTCATTGTATTTTCCATATGAATATGAATCTTCTGTACCTGCAAGAGCTATAACGCTTTCGTGAAAAAATTTCAATAAAGATATCATTGTTAGCAATGATTGCTAAGATTGACGTAGTGAAATTCAATTGCGTGACTGTTAGAAGTTGAAGATATGTTTTTATTATTATTACTTTTGCGGTTCAAAGCCTGAACCTAGTGTAAGCTGCTGCAGTGTTGTCTTGTAGAGTCTGCAGACAACCTGAAACAAAGACTTCGAAAGGTATGAACTCCCCTTGCTCCATTGATCTATTGAATGTTGATACCAAAATCTAATGATGATATTTTAATGTCACTATTAACTAAACTGATCATTTTAGGCGGGGGGGGGGGGATGGGGCAAGGGAGTGAAGACCATGATTGGAAAAATTGGGAGCTGCTGTAGAGAAGGAATGCATAGAGAAGAGTGTGTTAAATATCTCGCTTTTATCATGAGTATGACTTGGAATTGATTTACAGAAGTTGATGTAGAAGTCAAGTTATACCATATCTCCTGATTAGGTTAAATGGTCTAGATAATACATAGTCCTGCCATGAGTGCAGGGGTTTCTATACACACACACACACACACACACACACACACACACACACACACACACACACACACACACACACACACACACACACACACACACACACACACACACACACACAC